GCCCCTTTTGTAGCAATTACTGCCTCAATGCAGCATGTCATGGAAGCTATCTGCCTGTGGCACTGCTGAGGTGTTATGGAAGACCAGGATGCTTCAATAGCGGCCTTCAGCTCTTCTGCATTGTTCGGTCTCATGACTCTCATCTTTCTCTTGGCAATGGCCCGTAGATTCAGGTCAGGCAAGTTTGCTGGCCAATCAAGCACAGTAATCCCACGGTCATTGAACCACGTTTTAGTGCTTTTGGCAGTGTGGGCAGGTGCCAAGTCCTGCTGGAAAATGAAGTCAGCATCCCCATAAAGCTCATCTGCGGAAGGAAGCATGAAGTGTTCCAAAATCTGCTGGTAGACAGCTGCGTTGACCCTGGACTTAATGAAGCACAGTGGACCATGGCTCCCCAGATCAACACAGACTGTGGAAACTTCACACTGGACTTCAAGCATCTTGCAGTGTGTGCCTCTCCATTCTTCCTCCAGACTCTGGGTCCTTGGTTTCCAAATGAGATGCAAAAGTTGCTCTCATCAGAAAATAAGGCTTTGGACCACTGAGCAACAGACCAGGTCTGTTTTTCTTTAGCCCAGGTAAGACGCTTCTGTTTGTTGTTCAGGAGTGGCTTGACAAGAGGAATACGACATTTGAAGCCCATGTCCAGGATCCGTCTGTGTGTGGTGGCACTTGCCTCAGTCCACTCCTTGTGAAAGTCCCCAACACTTTTGAATGGCCTTTTCTTGACAATCCTCTCCAGGCTGCGGTCATCCCTGCTGCTTGTACACCTTTTTCTTCCACACTTTTCCCTTCCACAAAACTTTCTATTAATGTGCTTTGATGCAGCACTTTGGGAACATCCAACTTCTTTTGCAATTACCTTTTGAGGCTTTCCCTCCTTATGGAGGATGTCAGTGATGGTTTTCTGCATAACTGTCAGGTCAGCAGTCTTTTCCATGATTGTGCTTCCTACCGAACCAGACTGAGAGACCATTTAAAGGCTCAGGAATCCTTTGCAGGTGTTATGGCTTAACTAGCTGATTAGAGCGGGACACTTTGAGCCTAGAATATTGAACCTTTTCACAATATTCTAATTTTCTGAGATTGTGGATTTGGGGTTTTCATGAGTTGTAAGCCATAATCATCACAATTATGACAAATCATGGCTTGAACTATGTTGCTTTGCAGGTAATGAGTTTATCTCATATATTAGTTTCACCTTTTAAGTTGCATTACTGAAATAAATGAACTTTTGCACGATATTCTAATTTTTCGAGTTTCACCTGTAGGGTCATCTTTATATCAGTTATTTTTAATACAAATAATTTTAAAGTTGACTCTTACTCCTCCAGAGAGAATAGATAACTGGGCAATTGCTATTTTTCCTTTTTTTTCATTATATTTTGTAGACTAAGCAGACTACCTTACTCCTCTGCGCCAGTACGAAGCAGCTTCTAAGACAAACCTTGGATTTAGTTTGCCCAATTTCTGATTGTCTCTGTTCTGAATTCCACCTTTCAGCTGTGTTTGTTGAATACATTAAAACTCATTAAAAAGCATGCTAGATGGCATTTTATATCTACCCTCATTATATATATTGCCCTTTAACTAAATTGTGGCTTCCTTTTCTTATGAGCCACTACTGGGAAAGACTGTTTTCTTGAAATGCAACTTGTTTGGAAATGCAACACGTTTGCCATCATGGTTTTAAAGTAAAACAACAAAACTTGACTAAAGAAATGTTCATAATAGGAGTTACATTACCATGAAATGTGAATGTACAATGTTTGCTGTTCCTTGAATAAATGCACTTTGTCCTCTAATAATAATATAAAGATTTCTGAAAGTTAAATTACTCAGCCTTCTACCCTTCTAAGTCATTAAAATGAGGACCCAGATTGTTGGGGGTAGTATGCTGACTTTGTAAACCGCTTAGAGGGCTGTAAAGCATTGTGAAGCGGTATACAAGTCTCAGTGCTATTGCTATTACTTGGATTAAGAAGAAAGAAAAAAAAGGAACTTTCTCTTTTTTATTTTGTTTTCTGTTTTTTACATACTGTCCTGAATATTGGGGTTTTCCTTTCTTTTCATCTACTATAACTATAAATATATTTTAAAAGGAAGGAAATTGAATTTCAGAGTTGTATACTATATTCATTAAAAGTGTTATGTATAAACAAAAGCCAAACAAACTGATAACCTTTCTACTCATTTTTTATATAGTCCCATTGCTGCTTCTGTAGTTTTTGACAATGCAGACTGCAATATCCAGTTCGGTCACCATATGTATAAACTTTTAACTGCTCATTTAAAACAGAATGTTGCCCGGAGTATTGCAGAGATATATCATTGTGGAGCTTCCTTAGGTATTGAATTATAACATATATTCTATGGTTTCATATTATGCTGATTTTTTACTATGGTTTTATCTTAATTTCATATATAAATATATATTTGCTGACACTTTATTTAAACTAAATTTGCATACTGGTGACTGCATGACTTCTGTAAATGCATATGCTTAATAAATAAATAAATTTCTAATCTCTTCATATTAACCAGAAATGTAATTACTTTTTCCTAAAAAAATAAGAGCAAGTACCATCTTCCTATTTATCAATATTTCACATTACAACAAGAACATTCTTAAACAGAATGGCAAAACGAGTAAAGATATTGTATATAGAAAGGAAGTGTGATGCCTTGTGGTTAAACATGAGCTGATCAGCTGGAAAGCTGATCGCCTGGGCTTGAGACCTGAGCACTACATGACATGAGCTCCCATTATCTGCTACAGCTCTTGCCAACCTAGCAGTTCAAAATGTGAGTAGATAAATAAGTACTTCGGTGGGAAGGCTCCTGTATGCACCTAGGCATACAGTCATGTTGGCCACATGATCACGGAAATGTCTTTGGACAACTCAGGCTCCCTTGGTTAAAAAACAGATGAGCCTAGAGGCAGACACAACTGGACAACCTTTACTTTTACCTACCTTTTACACATCACAACTATACGGTGCAATTATTTACTATAGCTCAACCATATTCTGCAATTACACACATACATTTATTCTGTAAACTTACAGTGTAGTTTATCTGATTGTACCTTGGTATGTTATATGAACCTGGTCATTTGATCCCAGGTACATGAAGCCTATTTTATAACTTGGTATGTACTGTATGATATCAGTCTGGCCAGTTGTGGCTTATTCAAGAAGCGACGCTAAAATGAAGTATGGCTATTTCAAAAGTCAGAACTAAAGTTGGGAATAGTGGAAAGAATGCAATTTTTTAAAATTAAGTTATTTGTCTCTGTACTAATAAAGACTTTGTAAGGAAAAAACCAGAAATGGACAGTTAGCATGTGCATTATCTTATCAGTGGTCCAATAATATAAATAATTGGGCCTGAGATTTACTTGAAAGATTTATTACTGTCTTGTTCTACATGTGGAAGGTTTTAATAGGAACCAGAAATTAGGGTTATGTGTAACTTACGAGTTGTGGAAATTTCAGAGTGCTGCTGTTACTTTGTACCATCAATTTTTTCCATTGACTATTGGTTACCAGGCCCAATATGCAAGAAATATGTCAAGAAAAGTTGCCATCAATCCATCCTGACCCAGTGTTAATGAAAACAGCAAGAAAACTGACATTATTTTATAGTCCATACAATAAGTCATGTCCTGCACTCCTGTTCTTTTATTAATTATTTTACTTTGTCCAGAGGAGTTAAACACATTTTCTTTGTAGTTTTAGACTGTACATTGTGATCAACACTGTTCTGTCCCAAAGCAAGTAAAAGACTTTATAGGTCTTTATAGGATAGTTATAATGATAGTAGCTATAATTTCTTATTAGATCAAAACTTAGAGAAAAATAAGTACAGATGCAAAATAAGTACAAAACTTAGAGAAAAATAAGTTTTTTAGATTGGCATGTAATTCTGACATCTTCATGTGTTGCATTGGCAAATAACTAGTTTTTAAAATTCTTAAAGGCTGATGTTCACCTAGAGATGGGTGACAATAATTTGACTCAAGTCCGAGTACTTACTTACAGGCATAGTTTACTTGATTATATTCTGCTAAATAAACTGCATTTGGTGGGCTCAGATAATGCAATAAAACAGTAACTCTTCATAAGGTTTTGGTTTATGTCTGCTTATATGATGGTATATGATTGGTTGCTATGTTTTGTGAAATTTTATTTGAAATAACTATTGGTTTAACTGTATAATACAGCACACTTTAACATTATGTAGTACTGTGGTTTAAGTTACAATCTCACCACTTACACGGAGAGCATATGCACCAAGACAAATTCCTTGTGTTTCCAATTACACTTGACCAATAAAGAATTCTATTCTATTCTAAACTGAAAATACATTCTGATTTTGATTTTAAACAAGTAGAATTGCAGTGTAAAATGAACAGATTACTAATTTGAAGATGGATGTATTCAAATTCAAATATAGATATAAACTATTGGAAGAATGGTTGCACTCATGATTTATTTAAACAATATTCCTTTATTTAAAATGTTATTTTTTTAAAAATCTACAGAACTTTCCCTTATTATGAATTTGTCTGCTATAGAAGTTGTATCTAAACAAACCATCTCTTCATTTTTGTTTTGCCTTTGTGCAAGTGATGCTGTTCAGCTAAGGGAAGAAAAATGATATAGAGGACAACATTAAAGTTTTCCGAAGGGTGAAGAAATGCAATGTTGGTGGGCCGGGCTTACTAATATAAATTATTTACTTAGTATTGGTGGAGAAAATTTCATCCCACTGTCTCTATAGACCAGCTTTTTCCACATAAAGACTGCTTGTTAAAGCTGTTTTCTAACTGTAAGGAAATTACAAAAAAGAAAAAAGTTAATTTTGATGGAAACATGAAGTGGGGGCGAGCTGCTAAAGAACAAAAAACGCAGCGGAGCAAAAAGGACAGGGTGGGAAAGTGGGAGGAGTAAAACGGGGATGGAGGGAGTGTTTCAAGGAAGGAGGGATGTGGAAAAGTAGATGAGGGGATGGACGAGAAAGAAGGGGGGGTCGGACTATTTTTCTGGGCCTCGACTGGCGGTAACCGTAGGGGGTCTGGGGGGCCGCAGTCTGAACCCCTTCGCCCGCATCGGGAACGGGGTGGCAGGGCAACACGAGAGCAGTTCGGTCAAAGGTGGGTGAATTGTCTCACCCCGGCGAAAGGTCCCCGAGACCTTCGGATGAAGAACAGAGCGTAACACGGCACGGACCCGCGGTATAAAGAAGAGCAGGGTCCTCGCTTCCTCGGAGGGATCCCGTAGACTCTTCGTTGCAAAAGGAAATCTTGCTTTGCCTCTAGGCGACGATGGGACTGGTATGTTGGGCGAGGGTGGTGCCCGGGACGGGAGAAGCCTGGCTGCTCAGCCACGATTCTCCATGCCTCGGCAACGGAGAGAAAGGCTGGCTGAATATTCTGGTACCGAGCCGGGTTAAGCTTTTTTTTTCAACCCGGCGACGAAGCATCTCGGTTTTCTGACTTCGATCTACTGTACAGCCGACCGAGGGCGAAAAAGCAGGCGAGAGTAAGCAGCTGGTTATCCCTCCAATTTTCAGGGTGGTGTTTGGAGCATCCAGGCGGGGACTTGTTAGAACGCGGACCACTTCAGCTGCAGTTACTGCGAGCCTGGAATAAAATTCTGGGTAAATCTTGCATCCAAGTTCCCCGCTGTGCGGCTACCTTTCAAAAAAAAAGAAAGAAAGAAAGAAAAAAGGTGGGGTGAGAAAGGAAAACTGGGTGGTCTGAATCCAACATTTGATACGAGCCCTACCAGGCCTTCTTACCTGGTATTTCCAAGACACCTTCATTTTCCACCTTCCAATCATGTGTACGTACCCAACAAACTACCGTATTGTAATTCAGTAGTCCTGGGGAATGTATTAAGAGTCAGGTCATGTGGAGAAAAGTTTCAATTCCTGCTTTAAAAGTGATAGATTTATGGAATAAGGTGGTTATTAAATCAAAAGGCTAAGAAAAGAGTACACAGAGAGTAACAATATAATTTTAAATCACACAGAGACCCTGGAAAAGAAGTTTAAAGGACAAAAAGCAAATGTATAAATCAATGTATGGGGGTGATGGAAGCAAAGATGACTTGCAAGGATAGAAAGGTAGGGTAGTGAATGATGCTGATAAAAAGTAGATTTGGTGATGTTTCCTTTTTAGCTTGTGCCTTAATTTCTTTGGTTTCTTTGATTTCTTTTCCTGTTCTTTGTATAATGTTGCTTTCCTTGAATGGGTCTATATACATACAGATTTTTGTCCTTGTGTTGCTGTTTTATTTGTTGTTTTATTTTTATATAACATTTGGCTTTGTTGTTTGTTAGATTTGAACTCTATAAAATACACCCCTGCAGGCAGCATTTAGATACGTACAATGCCATTAATGGTGCTATTAAGAGACATAGGACATGAAAGGCAGCAAATTCAGTGTTGCTAATTTGTGTCAATTTATTCAACATATTCATATTCAACAATTTGTACAACATAGGTAGATTTTGGCCATAATCTGCCGTAATGTGATTTTTTTAGATTTCCAATAGTGCACCAATTGCCATAGTAACGGAGTCCATCCACCTTGCTGCTGGTCATCCTTTTCTTTAATTTACTTCCACTTTTTCTAGCATTAGAGACTTGTCAGAAAGTTAGATCTTCACAAAATATATCCAAAATAGGATAATTTGATTCTGGTGATTTCTGACAGAACTTTGGTTTGATTTGTTTGATGATTCCTTTTTCTTGTCTGTCCACAGTGTTCTTAGAAGTCTTCTCCAACAGCAAAAGCAATAATACTCTTCCCATTATGCTTCTTCGGGGTCCAACTTTTGTTTCCATAAAGTGTCACAGATAATACTACTACTTACACCATTTGATCTTTGTACATACAGACACACCAAAGTACCTGAATATCTTTTTCAAGGCTTTCATGGATATTCCGCCATGCTAGTCTGTTGATATATTTATGCTTGTGAAATTTGTATCGAACAGCACGGCAAAGATATCCTACTTTAATAATATCCTTCCTTCAGAAATAGTCTGCTCTCTCACTTCACTTCCTCCTCTCTAGAAAAAGATTGTATTCTGGAAGTTTCTAAGTATAGATTATTCCGTTGTGCACTTTCAGGCCAAAGTGAGATGCTCTTGAGCATTCCATTGCTCTACATGAAGCCAGTGAGCATCCAGTAATTCGTCATAGCTATGCTTTGGATGACAGCGGTGGTGATCTCTTTTTCAAGAATAGTCCACTTCGATTACTGTGATCCTATTAGAGGTTTTAGTTAAAGTTTGTAGGAACATTTGGATCTCTGTATATTACGGTATAACTGGCTAACATTCTTGATGTAATAGATAGAATATCATGAGAATTAATGATTAACAAATTATTGATGTTTATTGAACATTTCATAAATACATGGGATAAATGACCCTAAGATGATATAGGTAGCAATGTGGCTATGTTGCTAAGCTTTAGGGGGATCCAATATATAAAAAGAACTCTGTTACTGTGATGACCCTGGGTGTGGCACAAAGGCAACACAGTCAGATAAGCAGGAAATGTCCCTTTAATACCTCCAACTTTGCCCCCAATGTCCAGGTTACCTTCGGCTGGAGAAAAAACTCTCCCAAGAACAGTCTTTAAGTGGAGGAAATTCAGTCCAAAAACAAAAGTACATACAAAGTATAAATAAAAATCCACACAAACCATGCTACAGTAATTAACTTGACAGGGCAGGAGAAGAAATTGCAGACTTGAAAGCATAGCAAAACACACACAGTTGGGAAGACACCAGAAACATAGATAAGCCTTGACGATACCAGATATTTCACAATTTGCTCCCAACAACTTTGCTGTGTGCAGCTTCCCTCTTTAAACACTGTGTTCCCAGCTGCAGCTAATGAAGGGAATCAGGGCCCTTTCCTCCCCCATAAGCCACGCAACTCACATTGCTCCCTTCTCTGTTCCCCTCTGCATGCCATAGGATGAAGAGGGGATGGGCCTGGGTCTTTCTCCAAATTACCTCTTCCTTGCTCTACCTCTCCTCTGCTCTGCCCAGCCAGCCTTTGCCCTTCCCCAGTTTCTTCCACAGCCAATGGAACCACACTCCCACTCCCTGTCAGCTGCTCGGCCAGCCTCTCTGAATCAGATACTGACAGGGGCATGACAATTAACATAGGAATTACTTGTTCTGTCTGCCTTTGGAAAATGTCTTGTATATCATTGCACATATCCATGAAGTTCATGTGATATTTTATAACTTGATAAGCCTTGTGCATGTAGTGTTTGTAATATTTTGACTAACACAGTGCAGTCAGGTCTGTACATTGAGAATTGTGGAACTAGTAACTTTGCTTATGGAAATGTAAGTAGCGTTCATTAATGTAATATGTATATCAACTGTTTTTGTATTTCTTTAGCAGACACTCAGCATGTCTTGGTTGCTCTGACAATGAGCATCAACTTGTCCCTCAGTAAGGAAAATGTCTCAGAAAACCTCACACTGCTGGAAGAGGGAGCAGGCAGAGTCACCGAGTCAATTGCTATCATCATTATTGCTATTTTCATCTGTTTAGGGAATCTAGTGATCGTCCTCACTCTTTATAAGAAGTCATACCTACTCACCTTAAGCAACAAGTTTGTTTTCAGCCTCACTCTATCCAACTTCCTTCTTTCGTTGCTGGTGCTTCCTTTTGTTGTTACCAGTTCCATCCGTCGGGAATGGATCTTTGGAGTCGTTTGGTGCAACTTCTCTGCCCTACTCTATATGCTCATCAGCTCTGCCAGTATGCTAACACTTGGACTCATTGCTATTGACCGGTATGCCATCCATTTTTTCATGACCTGAATATGGCCGCATTGGAGGGGGGGGAGTTTTTAACATGTACCAGCATTGAATATGCAATGGCAGAGAAATATGTGTTAAATAACTGTGCCACCAAGTCCATACATTGAGATTGTGGAACAAATAACTTTGTTTATTAATACATAAGCAGCATCAGAATATTAAAGCAACAAAGAGAAAGTGTCTCCATGAGACAACCCAGGTTCTCCAATTAATCTGATCCATTTTTCAAAAAACAAACTCATTCCTTTAATTTTTTTTCATGTTTGGTATTATTTAATTTCCTCCATATTGCATATACCCTAATATTAACGCATACTCCTTTTATGTTTTTTCAGATACTATGCTGTCTTGTACCCCATGGTTTACCCTATGAAGATTACGGGTAACAGAGCTTTTGTTGCCATTGTATATGTGTGGCTTCATTCTCTAATTGGATGCCTTCCACCCCTCTTTGGTTGGTCATCTTTAGAATTTGATCAGTTCAAATGGATGTGTGTAGCTGCATGGCATAAGCAGGCAGGTTACACCGCTTTTTGGCAGATATGGTGTGCTTTGCTACCATTTATAGTCATGATCATTTGCTACGGTTTCATATTTCGCGTGGCCAGGATTAAGGCACGGAAGATTCACTGTGGCAGCGTGGTCATTGCAGCAGACGACACGCAAAGGAATGGGAGAAAGAACTCAAGTACTTCAACGTCCTCATCAGGCAGCCGGAGGAATGCTTTCCAAGGGGTCGTTTATTCTGCCAATCAATGCAAAGCTTTGATCACAATTTTAGTTGTGATCGGGGCTTTTGTCATCACATGGGGGCCTTACATGGTGGTTATCACATCTGAGGCACTTTGGGGTAAAAACTGCATTTCCCCTACCTTCGAGACATTAGCAACATGGTTATCTTTTACAAGTGCCATTTGCCACCCTTTGATTTATGGACTCTGGAATAAAACTGTACGCAAGGAGTTACTGGGAATGTGCTTTGGAGATCGGTACTACAGAGAATCATTTGTTCAAAGGCAAAGGACATCCAGATTATTTAGTATTTCTAATAGGATCACAGGTAATTTAAAAAAAATTTTTTTAAAGTGCCTCTAGAAGATACTGTAAATTGCTAGGGCAGAGTGACCACCATTTAAGTAGTCTGGTACAACCACTAGTGTTGTCCATCCTTCATCATATGGTTTCTTTGTCTGCTTCATGATTAAGAATTTTTAGACATGGACCTGATAACAATTCTTGTACATATTCAAGGCAGGCAGGAGACCTTGGAGATTCATTATGTCTGATTATCCATTTTATTCAGATAAACTTCACTGAATGGATAAGACAGAATTGGAAAATTAAGCTGAGTGCTCTCAGGAAACATCCTTTGCATATGTATATTTTTGTGGTATCCTAGGATCTAGAGCCTCTTGCAATTCCTCTGTTGTCCATTTATTTGTTTATGATTTAAAAAAAAACCTCACCCCCAGTTTTAACATTTCTGGGTAATGGTTTGCTACTAAGGGGGTTCAACCTATGTATTCATTTATCACTACCACTATAATTCCAATTGCTTTTACATCAGTCTGATTGGTTCTCCTTAAGTTAGCTTTTACAAACAATCATTATCACATGTTATAACCTCGATAAATATAAATGCTCAAAACATTTCTTTAAAAGGTTTTTAGAATAAATAACAGAATAACAGAGTTGGAAGGGACCTTGGAGGTCTTCTAGTCCAACCCTCTGCTTAGGCAGGAGTTGCAGTCCCCAACTGCCAGGGCACCACATGTGAGGCCATACTGCCCACTGACCTTATTGATAACTGCCTGCCCTGGGGGCGTTGGATGACTCCAGGACTGACCAACTCAATTGGCCCTGTAATCCAAAGCATGCTTTGCTCGTTATTTTTTCTGAGATATTCAATTTTTATTATTGAGATAATCAAACTCTTAACATCAAACTAAAAAGAAGTGTAAAGATTTTTTTTCATTGATTTCATTAGATATAGGTTCCTAATGGTATGAATTTTAAATCTGAATTATTCAGGAATCATGTTTAATAAATTCAGATGTTAAAAACATTTTTTTTATTCCATTTAATCATGACAAGGATTTTGAGAAGTGATTTGCCATTGCCTCCTTCCCAGGACTCAGAGAACGTAACTGGCCCAAAGGTACCCAGCTGGCTTTGTACCCAAGGCAGGACTAGAATTCACGGTCTCCCAGTTTCTAGCCTGATGTCTTAATCAGTACATTAATGGTTAATAATGTAATGGCTCTTGTTACAGACTTAGCCATTATTAAATCAAGCAATGTAATAAAATGCACTAAGGATATTTGAAGATATTTGGGTATGAATCTAGAAATTAATTTTTTTGGATGCTGAAATACTTTTACAGATCTAGGATTGTCTCCACATCTGACAGCTCTCATGGCAGGGGAGCGGACTTTAGGACACAGCAGCAGCACAGGAGATACAGGCTTCAGTTGCTCTCAGGATTCAGGTAACTGTTTCTTTGAGTTATGTTGCAATGAACAAGTAGTATGATACAGCTGCTAAAAAAAGAAGTTTGCAATAAACTTAAAATGCAACTTAGTAGTATTATCTTGGTGCTATCCAGCTATTATAGGATTCCTCCTCGTGGGTTTTGTGTGTGTATATGTGTGTCAATGAAAAATTATGAAAAAAACATTGGGGGAACTACTGGTCAATAAGTGTGTGGACTACCCTGTAAAACTCCATGAATGTGGGAAAGATGGAGATAGTTAACTGTGTAACTTCTGATTCTCTCCTGCAAATGTGTCTCTACAAATAAGTTTAGCTGATTAGTTAAGTCAAATACAATTTAAAATAAAATTCATAACAAAGATGGCTTGGTTACAAGAAAAGATGTGCAAAAGAAAGTTGAAGTATTCTTCCCATTCACTTGCTTCCTAGCTCTATAATTAGCATTATAAGCCAAAAACAATCTTGCAATCTTAGTTTTCTGCATTGTAAAATGCGATTCCAGCTATAGAGGTGCCATTTTCTGTTTTCTAAATGTAAGGGAGAGTACATGTTGAGGTAATTCCCCGTTAGGAGAATGAGTGCACACAGGGAGGCGTAGTGAGAGTGGTGAGAAATAACACACAGCCAGCACGCATATACACTGTAAAGTAAAATGTAGGTTTTTACTTCCAGTAAACAGTTAAGCAAAGTCCAACAAGCAGTCCAAGTCATACATGGTTAAAGCAGTCAGTTTTCAGTCCAGGGATAATCTAAATAATAAAGTCCAGTATCATACACAGTTCAGTAACAGACTTACAGTAATCCAAGAATAACGATGATCAGCAACAGTCAATAGGGAAATATTCAGGAAACAGCGAACATCAGAACATTGACCAACTAGCAACTATCAACAACAGGACTAAACAACCCAGGTTTCTGGCTCCATCTTATGGCCGTTTGAGGAACCACACCCAATTACAATTTTTAGCATTCCCTTAAAGAGACAGTATTAAAATGTCTATCCTGGTTTATATATTTCCAACCCAACTGTTAGGTGACTTACATTCCTAACTGTACATACAGCTCAGTGCCCAAAAATACAATTTCTGCATATATCCATTAAATGAATTCTCCCGTAAGTCAACTGTCTAAGCCATTATCTCTTTTTAGGGACAGATGTTATGCTGCTTGAAGATTATAGTTCTGATGGAATTAATCATCCACATTGTGTTTACCCTCATCGACGGAGTTCTGTAACTTTTGAAGATGAAGTGGAACAAATTAAAGGTATGTTGAGGCTAGGCATGCAATTACTGAACTGTTTATAATGGGACTACTTGAATCAAGAATTCGGTCCTAAACTGCTCTTTAATTTTTCCTTAATTTTAGTTTGAGTTTTTAATTTAATTTATTTAATATAAAATTAGAAGTTGTGAAAGACTTGAAAATGAAATAAATGCACTGAAAAATCTTATAGCTGAAAGATACATATAATCTAGAAGGGAAAATTGAGAGAGAGAGAGAGAGAGAGAGAGAGAGAGAGAGCGAGAGAGAGCCACAGTGATACAGTGGTTAGAGTGCAGTACTGCAGGCTACTTCTGCTGACTGCTGGTTGCTTGCAATTTGGCAGTTCAAATCTCAAGAGGCTCAAGGTTGACTCAGCCTTCCATCCTTCCGAGGTGGGTAAAATGACGACCCAGATTGTTGGGGGCAAAATGCTGACTCTGTAAACTGCTTAGAGAGGGCTATAAAACACTATAAAGCAGTACTATTGTCTAAGTGTTATTGCTATATACATATACAAGTCCAATCTGGTCTAATGGTTAAGGTGTCAAGCTAAAAACCAGCTGAGTGACTTTGGAGCAGTTACTCTCTTTCAGCCCAACTCTCCTCATAGGGGTATGGTGGAGAAAATAGGAGGAAGGAGTATGAGGCATATTTGCGGCCTTATTTATTAAAATAATAATGCCAACATAAAAAAACGTTTAGTGATAATTGCAATTATTTTAATCTTATTCTTCAGGGGAAAAATAGAACATGCAAATATTTTGCAGAATCTAGATTTATTGGACATTGTCAGAGAGTGTGATTTTGCTCTTAGCAATAGGAACTTTAAGATTTTTGCCTGTAAATAAATTCAATAATGACAATGAATTATTTATATTCATAGATATAGACATATATTAACAATTTCATCCTCACTGTCCAAAGTCTGTTGATCTGCCTGTGTGTCTAAAAAAATTAGAAGGAAAATTAATTATATTAGATTCAGGAAGGATAAAGTAAACATTCATTATAAAGAGTTTCCTTAAAAAGAAAAGGACGAGCAAGGGAGAGTTTTCCATGTGAAATGAAGTACAAAGGAAAGTGAAAAATACAGGACAACAGCCCCATGGATTTGTAAGGAGGAGAACTGGGTAACTGTTCTGAAATGGAGGAAAAACTCACTTCTTCTCTTAGTTTTGCTTAGGTTGACTGCTAAGTAGCATTGACTGCTAGTATTGACTGCTAAGAAATCATACACAAAAAGTGCAGTGGACTATAGAAGAGAAATCAGCAGAGCAATTTCAGAAAAAAGCAAAATGAAACCATATGATTGCAAGCTCAAAATTAGAACTATAGATGGAAGGTTTAATCTGAATTACTCAATTATTTCTTGAAGTGCTTCTGCAAATGTTTCAAATGATCTCTAGCCTGCCTATTTCAGTGGCAGAGGTAAGGAAAGAAGTACAGCATTTAATAAAGGGAGTTTTAGTCTTTGTTGTATTTAAAGAAACATCCTTTAAAGCCTGTCTTTGTTATATAGTTTGCTGATGGCTGAGATCCACATATTTTATTTTTAAGTTTATGGATAGACGTCACTTGTTAGATTAAATTATCATGCATATGTTTGACCCAACTCATTTTATTAGATTTATAATTCTACTATCCTACATAGAAATCCGAAAGCCACAATAGGATGAATCTTCTTTGAATGTATTTCATTACAGGACAGAGGACTACAATGTTCAAATTAACATTAATGTGTGAGGCATTCATATGGCATTATTGAGCTAATATCTCTCTTTTCTTTGTTCAGAAGCAGCGAAGAACTCTATCCTCCATGTAAAGGCTGAAGTTCACAAATCTCTGGATAGTTATGCATCCAGCTTGGCCAAAGCAATTGAAACGGATGTCAGGATCACCTTGTTTGGAGGAGATGTCCTCTCTGGCTCTTTGTTCCCAGCACGAACTGTGGCAGGCAACAATGGAAGCGCACGGCGTGGCGGCAGGGTCCACATTGGACAAAAAATACAACTACAAAGCATTGAAGAAGTGAACACTTAAAATTGCTTCAATAAAACAAATAGGAAAAAAAATACACTAAAACTGATGCACAGCCACGATTCTTTGCAAGGAAAGCAAAACAGGCCCCAGTGTTTTAAGCAAAGCTATAAAAATTCCCAAAGAATCATCTTAACACAGTATTCGAGAACAAAGTAACTCAAACTATTGGGAAATCAAAACTTTGAAAGGGTTCACTTATCCCTAAATAGTAAAGCACAGGTTATTTCATTATTTCGGTGGCATACAGAAGCATTTCCCAAGTTGGACACTATATATAAGTGTAGACTTCAGCTGCAATTTTGCAAACAGCATGGCTGTGACTGAGAATTCTAAAAATTAAAGCAACCGGAACACTCAGGTTGGGAACAGCAGCCATAGTGTTTCTGGCTGGATGCTTTTTCTGCTTTTTAAAAACTTTATAAACACAGTTCACTGTTAAAGTACTCCCATTCCTCCAATACTTTAACAACTTTGTCCAGGTACTTATGAAAATAATAATAAAATGCAACTGAGGCCAATCAAATCTAGTATTGAAAATAAGGGTACTTTCACACTAGTATTTTAATCTGAATGGTCACGTTTTGCTAAATCATTTTACAGTGATCATCTAAAAGGTTACATTCTCCATTTACTGTCATCTTGTATTTTCTATATTTTTGTTCCTTTTCTGAAGCTGCAGAATGTTCATCTTTAACACACAACCCCCAGAAAAGTCACACTTTCTACAGTTAACACTGCTCAGGAGAAATTCATTATAAACATTGCAATAGCTACCATTAAAAAAAAATTTATTCCTCAGTTGTTAAACCGATGGTGATCAGAAAATGTTTTAATCTTTATATTAGGTGAAATACAGCTTGTATTAACCAGCTTACAAAACACAATGAACACAAAATATTTTTCTCTCCCTTAGCTTTATAATGTTACAACACTATGTCAAGCACATGCACGTGCATATGTATATGTTTTTTTTTAAGTTGACATGTTTTTTAAAAATAAAGTGGCATCCTCTGCAAAAGTATACAAAGCTATGCTAAGCTTTAAGTGGTCAAATAGGTAATTGTTTTCCTCTCACAAAAACTGGCAGTTCATATGGAATGAATGTAGGTGCAACTTTGTTGATAGGTGGAAATTCAGTTGTGATTTCACTTGCACTTTGCAGAGAAAATGCAGTGTTTGTATAGCATTAGAATCATACTTGGAATACTGATTAAGGAAGTGGGAAAGGGAGTAATTTATATGGGTAATTAGGATTAACAATTTCATTAGTATGGAATACTTTCATTAATATAGTGCCCTCCAAACATGTTGGATTATGGGCTTCCACAATTTTATTTGTCCCTGCTATATGACAATTATAGAACTATATTATAGACCTATAGTTCAGCTCTATGGTCTTTGACCATTTCTGTGGGGAATCATTCGTGTTTCATTCTTTCAGTAATGTACTTCTTTTGGGTTCACAAAAAAGATGAGTTATATTCCACAAGCAAATAAATAACATTGCCTCTGCAGTTATTGTAATTGGGATTAATGATGAACAGTATTCCATAAATGAAGCTAGAAGTTCACTGGTTAAGCAGATTCCATTTCCATGTACAGGTAGACCTCGACTTACGACCACAATTGAACAACATTTGTGTTGCTAAGTAAGAGTTGTTCAGTGAGTTTTGCCCCATTTTACCACCTTCCTTGCCAGAGTTCTTAAGTGAAAGACTGCACTTG